TGAGTCTAATCTGCACAAACTGGAGAAATACTGGGAAGTCTGTGTTTAGTTTTTAGTCAGAGGTGATGTTTTAAACCACATCTCAGTCCTGGTTCAAATAGCTGGAAGTATTTGATTACTGAAGTCAAACATTATCATAATTCATCACAGACAAGTCTTAAGTTAAAAACTGATTTACGTTAGATTTGAATTTTAAAAAATACAAATGTAAAAGATTACTGCTGCAACCCATCCTGCTCTGAGAGAGCGTCTCTCGAGCAAACAAAATGCATAGAATATGACACAAAACCAACAAAGGTTTCAGTGGTGCTAAAATGACTCACTTCATGAAGCAATCGGCAGGTGTGCAGATGTGAGAGAGGAGTCAGGGCTTGAACTTCTCTTTTCATTTTCAACTGTTTCTGCCACTTTTTCCGCACTATGAGCGGCTTCTAGAAGAGACTGTCTGAAATCGCGCACCAATTTCCCGTCTTCAGGACAACTATAAGGACATTTAGTTGGACAACATGTCGTACACAATAGTTCGTTGAGAAAATACTCTTGCTATTAGGCAGTTTGGGTGCAGTTCCACAGGAAAAGAGCATCTTTAAGCCCCTAATTCAGTGTCTCACTGCATTTTCCCTGCTGGAGTGTCCTTGAGCTACAGCTGCTGACTCCCCGCCATTTCCACAGGCGCTGTTCTGCCTGTGACCCTGAGCTCTGATCTCCCAACGAAAGGGAACGGAGGTGAATTAAAATTGATCAATTAAGCGTCACTTTACATCCATGTCAATTGCTTTGATTAAATCTACAAATGGAGTCCACAGCACAAATGCGTTTGTCGGTGTAGCAGCCATTTCCACCAGATCCTGCTACGTTAAGCTGTAGAATAATTCCTGGTGGTTCTGCAATTCATTCTCTGTGGTGGCATTTTTTTTTCTCCTCTGCCTCACTGCAATGAGGCAGGAAGCTACTGGTGGCTCCACACTGACCCCTGTGGACACAAGTGAGTACTACACCTCCTGACTGACTCCTGTAAAGCATTACCTCATTATGATTGATCACGTCTGCCTACTTAGAAAATACAAACACAAAATCAGTGCACTCTGCAACATAAAACACAATTTTAAGCGTGAAAGCATGGATCCATCCTAAGACTGATTGACAGATAAAATTAAACTAAAAATTGAGAACATTAGCTGTTGATTTTTCTTGACAGTTTTACGATTGAGCTGAACTGTATTCTGCTCTGTTGTGTAGCACGAGTGGACTTCAGCCTTTACTGCTGTCCTAGCAGTTTGTGTGTGATAAGTCTGCTCTCTTATCATTTCCCACAGTAACTACCAGCTAATGATCAGTCTGTGAGCGTGGGAACCAGGAAGAGAGAACGGCGAAGAAGAGAGTGAGAAAGAAAAACAGGAATGAAAGACCATACAGAGAAAACAGGCTACAAGCAGCACACATATGCATCTTTTTAAGCTACTATTTAGGCAGTATTGTTTATGTTTTCATTGATAAACAAGTCTTGTATCTTGATCAAATATGTGCCATCCAATTAATCCTTCTTCTTTTTGACTACAGCATCGAAATTCTCTTTTTTTTTTTCTATTGACAAGAAATCATTTTTAGATTCACACAGTCACGTTTCTATTTATTTATGTGGAGTCAGAGGTTGCACGGCTACGCGGTGGCTCCATATTCTCATTAAAAACAACCAACAAGTTTTTAAGCTTCAGATTTTAGAAAAAATTTAGACGTCAAAGGTTGCTTTAAGTCAAAGGAGAAAAAAAGAGAAGAGAAAAAACATGCAAATTCATCATCAACGAGTCATCTTCTACTGGGTATGAATTGTGACACAGATTACAGGTTTATGTTGGCTGTGGCTGATTAATGAAACCAACCAGAGCTGTGATATACACAACTCTGAAAAACATACTTTGTGTTGAACGACTCACATGACACAGGCTAAGGCTAAGGCCTTATTATAACCAAAAACTAATTTTATATGAAGAATGTCTGAACATTTCTTTTCGAGGCTGTGAGTTGACAAGCAAAAAGTAAAGTTACAGTGAACCTCTGCTGCCATCTGCAGGCGAAATGATCGACAACACTTTCCTCTGGAATTACGATTTCGAGTTCAATAGAACATAAGGCGGGTCAGAAGTCTCTTTTGAGGAGAGAGGTGAATCTATTTTCAATCTATGCCACTGAAATGTCATTCGTTTCAGACGAGACCCTTCAGGCAAAAGGAGCGGTTTTTGAGAACTTGCCAATTTTGACATTTTGCCTTGTTTCAAACTAAAATGCACACTTAGGTGCTTATTTAACTCCAGTGAATCTTCTGGAGATTTATGCAAACTGGCACATATTGAATAAGATGATACCTCATTTGCATAACTAACCATAAACTTGTAATGCAAAAAATCACAGTGTTATTCTAATTAATCAACTGGGGAGGTTGGAAGTTTATATTTTTCAGTTAATTTTTTTTACGGTACTCATTTGTAGTTTCTCCACCTGAATTTTTTTTTTTAATTTTTTAAAATATCAATATACACTGATCAGCCATAACATTAAAACTGTACGTGTCATGGGGGATTGTTTTTATAGCACCAATATTATATTTATTTACAGCCTTATTGTGCTTTTGTAATTCTTGTCCTGCCTCTTCAATGCCTCATATGTATCTAGCTGCTCTAACAGGCAGATTCCCCTGGTGAGGGATCGATGGAGTTTATCTTATCTCATATCATTACAATATAATGGTCTTCTGGGAAACACTGGGCCCTGGCTTTCATTCACTCTGACATGTGCCACCCACCGACACATTATTCCAAATGACAACAGAACTTCCCAGCACAAATGCATCCTGCTACACTGCAAAAATCTGCTCAGAAGCTTGAAGGACATGAGCCTGAGGCGTTAAGTCGGCCTCCAAACTCCCAGAAATCAATCCAATCCAGGGAGGTCTCACTTGATAACCCACTTGACCCGTAGAATTGCCAAAGTCCCAGTGCCAGCCCCCTCCAGAGACCCCGGGTCCATGGACCAACAGATCAGAGCTGTTCTGGCAGCACAAGGTGGACCTACACAATATTAAGCTGCTGATTTTAATGTTGTGGCTTTTCAGTGAATAAAACAAACTCGTAAACCTGATTCTTCTCATATCTAAGCCAAAATGTAATTATTATTTTTGTTTGGCCAGATACTGTTCACATTCTTCCTTCTTTTGCATTAAAGAAGGCAGTTCAGATGTCCTGTTAACATAAAATGAAACTGTAATATTTTGCCAGAGACAGTCTTAATCATTCTAACACCAGTTGTTGAGAAGAGAACAGTGTGAACACATAAATGTATTAATGATTAATATTTCATTTTTCTTGAAGCTTGGCTGACAGGGCTCTCTCTGAGCAACATCCTGCTTTATATTCATACAGTTTCACTATTAAATCTGAGGCTCAGTCTTGGGCTGCCAGACACAACCGCTGCAATCCTGTAGGCTTAAAGCAGGAGAAGTAATTGATTAAGAAATTTCTGACTGGCAAAAATCCACACGAAGATGCTTCCAGAAACATTTGAATGCTGCAGCAGCGAAATAAAGACAGATGAACGTTCAGCAGAGGAAACACAGACGAGAAACAGGCCGACTACCTATGTACACCCACCACACATCTGGCTCCTCTCACTTTCACTGTCGAACTATCATCGAAATCACTAAAAAATCCAGACAAGCCAACTTTGTCTGGAAGAATAAGTTTCATTTACAATCTAAAGATCTGGTGAAAGTAGAATTTTTTCCTCAGAATTTCAACATTATGAAGTATGAAACCAAGCTGCTACAAACAACTACATGAAGTAAATGATTGAGGGAAGGGGAGTCCTAAAATCCAAAATGCAATGCGATACTAATCCAAGCAACACAATGTGAGAGTAAACCAGAAGAAGAGAACAAACTCCAACATAGAATCCTGATTTGTGATGAAACCTGTGCGGTGGCAACTCTATTAATAAGATCCGTCACAGTAATGATGAGCATGTTTGTGACAATGAAACAAATGGCAGCTGGTGACCGTTCAGCGATGCCTCTTTTCAGTCATCAAACCAACAGCAACATACAAAACGCCTCTGTGGGTGAAAGTGTGTGACACACTGTGTAAATGGATCTGACTCCTGCTTTCCGTCCTGCTGCTCGGACGCACAGTCAAGTAACAGCTTATTCAGTCTCGTGAAGCCATGAAAATAAGCTCATTTGGTGAAACGAGAGTGGTAAAATTCTGATATTTTTTGCAATATCTTTTGCGCTTTTTTGGCAGTTTTAATTAAAATGTGATACAAGCTGCTTGTTTTATTGGAGATTGTCTCGACTGTCTTGCTTTGAAAAATGGAAACTCATTGCAAAGACAGAATGTATTTTATATTTGTTTCAAAGATAAAGCTCAACCCTTGATGAATTGCTGCAAAATTATAGACAACAAAGGGAAATTGGTGTGGCACTGGAGTCAAACGTGTGTAATGTTTGTCAAATCGGCTTCAAAAATCACTCCCAGCTTCACGTGTCTTTGCCACAGATTGTTTTATAGCACTGCACACGATCACAGAATTACACGCTTTTCACAAACTCAGTAAAGAATGACAAATAATTCAATGTTCAGTCCCACTTGAGTCAGAACAGAAACAGCATATTCACTACCTGTGCTCATGTTAATCTGGTTCCTATGAAGTATATTATGCTGATTTTTGAATTCATACAGTGACTCAGAGACTAAAATAACTCAGAAATTCCTCCTACATCAGTATATTTGAATAAATCTTGGTTATGGATATGAACCAGACATTAATGATTTTTTAAATCTGAGCACATATTTGACTTTCATCCTTCCTGTCTGACAGTCTAACAGCAGAGGGAGACAGATGACTGAACTTGAACATACAGTAGCATCAGGCCAAACGCCTTTGCAGCTGAAGACTGTATCGGAAGTGTGTGTGCGTTGGTTTGGGTATTTTTCCTGACATATACTTACTGGTGACAGTGAGAACATTAGTCTTGACCTCAGCAGTGATCTGGATGCGACCTCTCCTCTCGGTGTGGTCTGTTCCACATAGGCTCGGCACGTTGGCCACGCAGCGCTTATGGATGTTCATCATACAGTCTGGAAGATATGCATACAGAGAGATCAGTGTGTGATGTTATGTAAGAGTGCATTGTCTGAGCATTAGCATAACAGTATTTGTGTGAGCTGATATGTGTGTCATGGAAACAGCACAACTATGGTGGAGAGCTGTCGGTCCTCAGTGCAGGATGACATATTTATAAAGCCATACATTTCTGAGATTTACTATTTTACAAAACTCTAAAAACTTCCAATCAACATGTACAATATTTTCTAAATGCCCACAGGTGTTACTAATAGAAGAAAATAGTGGGATTTTATGACACAAATTTGGTTCTATACTTGTTTCCTATGTGTTCCCTGCAAACACAGCCTGCAGTTCAGCCAAACAGTGCTGGATTTCAAAAAAAATTTAAATTAAAAATGTGACTGTTGGTCACAGCTGAGTTACTAATGGCTCTACAGTTCTACAAAAGAACACGACTTTTTTTTTTTTTTTTTTAAACAGAATCTGGTTAGAACAAACAACTTATTTTTTTTGGCAAACTATTAAATAAAATATCCCAAAAAGTGATTTGATGATTTTACATTTGGTTAAGTTATTTCACAGCACAGCAGGCCACAGATGAGTAGTTAGAGAATTGTCAAAAAGTTTTTTTGTTTTTTTCTGTTTTCACAGTTTCTAGCTCTTTTAAATGGTGTAATTTTGGCAGTTTGTTAAATAAAAACGTCTTTCAAATCCTCTGACAGGGTTAAAACAGCAGTGTGAATACAGTATGATAACAAAAATAAACTGATATCAACATAAAGTAAATCAGCACTGCAGAGGATGGTTATGAAGAAAAGTGACTGAGACCATCTAAATGTCGTTCTGTGATCATACAGCTGAAATATGTGTTTGGATGTATTAATGTTAACATGAGCAAAGCAAAAGCAGCCAGACATGTCCAGAGTACGTACGGTCACATCTCATGCCCTGGTGTAAGAGGCCGTAGAGTAGAGAACCGCAGTGGTCACAGAAGGTCGGGCTAGAGTAGGTGTGGATCTTAAACTTATGCTTTGCCCTTGGGTCCTGGGAGGAAAGAAAGAAAGAAAATGAAACAGTTAACCACTAAACTCTTCTAGGAAGTCAGGATTTTTCAAAAGCATGAGGTAAATATTTCACAAATCACAAATTTGCTTAAAAATCCCTTCTGCTGGAAAGTATTTAAGCTCAGTAACATGTCTTTAACTCTTTATGGGGCAAGTGGCCATATTTGGTAACTTCATGGGATGTTCAATATGTCCACCCTGTGCCTCTCCTTGAGGTTGAAGAACCATGTGCACTTTGATTTAGTTTTTATGTTAGTGCCAAGATCACTACCTTACCAAGAATGTCACTAAATAAATGGTCCAGGCACTTTATAAACGCTTTGTTACTGGTTGTGTAAGTATCATTACCTCAGACTAAAATGTTTCTAGATAAATGTTTTTTGCAGTTTGTTACTTTTCTTTTATTGATTATATATTTTTTTATTTTTTTTTAACAGTAGACGGGCAAGTGACCATACATGGTAACTTTATTAATCTTGATTTGCAACTTTATTTTTTTTTCAAGTCACAAATATCTTGAAATATCCTTCAATAACACCCTAGGGTTGAAATTTTCATTTTCCAAGTATTTCAAGGAGTGCCCTATAAAGGGTTGAGGTGTTTAGTTTTTTTTTTAACGCTAGAAGATATATGATGAGCAAAAAAAGTGCTCAACACCATGGCTGAGCATTTTTCACCTTGAAACTGCAGTGTATTTTATAAGTAACAAACCCAGAATCAGTTTCCAAGATGAACTTGATTGGTTAAATTACTTCGATATTACAATATAGTAGTTGTGCAGTGTTTGAGCAGACTTGTAGGTGAGCTGGTGTGCTGGAGCTGCATTGAGCAACAGAGGGGTGGTGGGTGCAAAGAAAAAAAAGATCACATTCTCAAAGAAGTGATGGTGCAGAGCTACCAGCAGCCATTGATTATTTTCCTGGGAAAAAAAACTAAATATGCAAGTTCGATACACAGAGAGGAGTTTTAAGGCTTTAATCAATGGCTGCAGTGAAACTTTAAAAATTCATGTTGTACAATTGATGCTGTGGCCAAATGTGCATCATCCAACCTATTTGGAAAAAACACTGAATAAACATTTGCAAAAGACATACAGTAAATAACACAACTCTTTGATATATATATTTTTTTTGCCATCTGCACACACGTCAGTTTCTCTCTAAACTTTCCACCATCCACTGCTGTGAACATTTACAGGAAGTCTGACAGAGGCGTTTTCACAGGGGCATCTGCACTGTAATCTGATCGAGGTAGGTTTCATGAGAAATTCTTTGTTCATATAGGTATTGAAAGAATACAGAGGCAGCAACGTAGCGCGACTGTTTTTGTGTGGGTTTCATCAGTGAGAGACAACTCAATGGAGTCAGCCTTCCATGAAGACCTCTTCAATTTTCAGATATATTACGAAGGGCAAAGGTCACGATAATCTGTGTTTCCATCACATGTGACATGAAACAGATTTACGTCCACACAATACGATTGATCAAACACGTGGGTGTGACTTGAACTGGCGTTCAGCTCAAGGTTACAAATTCAGGCCTTTTATTCCTGATTACTGTCAATGTTCCTAAATAACATTAAAAAGACAAAAAAAACAAGAAAATCTGCTGAATATTGAACTCTTTCTGCTTTTTTTCCCTCCATTTGGATGTTAATTACGTGCTGCGGATTGACAGAACACTTAGGTACCAATCGCTTTTTAATGAACATTCATAACTAAGGCATAACTAGGGCGGAAACAGAGGCTATTTCTGTCTAATGTGTCTAGTGTGTTGCCAGTTCATGTGTGTGTGTGCGTGACACCTGCAACCACAGCTCAGTGGGAATACACACAAGCGCCGGCGGCTGCTGAGAGGCTGCTTATTCTTGCGCAAACACTCACACGCAGCCTGCAACATGAACCCACAGGCGGTAATCACATCCAATACACCGCTTGAGATGGATCCAGGTTGTGCGGTGAAGCGGGCACTCTTCGATGTAGGAGTTAAAGCATTTCTGCCAAGGGGATCCATCACAGTTACCAAACACGTAGGTCGAGTATTTAATATGGATTTCTAAAGGATCTCCTCAAGTGGAAAATGCTCTGATGGCATCTGATACATAAGCACTTACTGGTAATTTTTCCTATAAATCAATACAGTCTGACGTACGCAGACGTGTGTGTATTTATGTCTTTTTTTTATCTTGTGAGCCAGAAAGAACGAGATGATTGATTTCTTCCTCTCCTCAACACCTGTCCTGGAAAATAATGTTCAATTTAGGCTGCCACTGCCTGAATTATATCCAGCTTCCCCAAGGTGTCTTCAGAAATGTGTGTGTGACCGATTGTGTGGCTGCTTGTCACTTCTTGTTGTGCGTTTCTTTGCACAACTGTTATGTGTTTGCATTTGTGCGACGTGCGTCTGCTTGTGTGTTTGTTCCTCTGCTGGTTTTTTTTAGTCTTTCTCAAGGACAAGACCACCTCCTGTTTGTTTTTTTGTTCCTCTGAAAAAAATAAAAAAATAAAAAAAACACAAGGGAACACTGTGCTGCTGAAGATCCGGTGATGAGCGGCAGAAGACAGGGAGCGATACGAGGGCTGATGAGAGACGGCGCCAGCTTCTTTATAAACGCTAATCGTTAACTACATCCGGCTTTGAAAACTCAAAGATCAATCAGAGACCAAAAAAAAAACAGGAAGAAAGAGGCATGAAAACAGTGAATAGGGACAAAAGGAATCACTTTTCCTGCCTTTCAACAATCTTTCGTTGATGTAAAATCAGCCCTCTCTGTTTGAAATTTTGTCTTGAACACAGTTTCTATTGTAGTAGAAATATTGCTTTTTTTTTTTTTTTTAATTAACAAAACTTTTAAGAACAGTGTGAGCAACGATAAAATAGAAACTTTTTTATTCATCGTCCTGATCACCAGTTGGATACGAAATGAAAGTAGTGATGAAGACAAAACTTTAAAGCAAATTGCAGTATTTTAGGAAACAACCTTATTAACTTGATTCACGTAACACCACTAACACATCTGTAGGTGCTGCCCTGTCAATGTTGAGGCATCAACTGAACATCAGATTCTTTAAGTTAAGCACTTTGTCTCTACATAATGTGCATGTGACAGTCTTTTTAGCAGCCAAGAACAAGCCATATGGGTGATGTTGGTCCTTCATGGTGGGACGTGAGCGACTGTAGTGTGTAACAGAAAGTAACGTTACCACCACAACCACTGCCAAGTACAGGGTGACAGAGGAGAGACTAAGTTGTAATAAACAGCTATAAAGTGTGTAGACAGGCTTAGGTCTCAGTGTAACAGCTATTCGAATGTTATGCAACATTTGTGCTGCTCTTTAAAAAAAAAAAAAAGTGGTTCTCTAAAAAGGTCCAGTTCATGCAGCGTTACCACTGCAGAGCTGGTCTGGACAGTAAAGGTTACCGGCTAACAATCCAGGCAGGAGCACTCGGCCTAAAACTAGTGGTCTGCTGCTAAAGAAAGAAAATGAAACTAATACTGGAGCTGCTGCAGTGAACAGCTAAACTTGATTCGACTGATAAAATTCTGACTGGCGCCTGATAAGGGAGCAGTCCTAGTCATCTCTACAGTTCGTACAAGTCTACCGGAAAACAACAACAGAAAAATACTTTTTGGTAGCGCCTGCTAAAACAACACACAGACAGCTTTTCTGATCTGAAGCCTCCAATGCAGGACAAAAGCTTTGTCTTGCCTTTAACGATTAGAAAAACAATGTGGCTTCAGTTCAAATGACTACTATGTTAGGGGTTATAGCACCTTTCTTGATATTAATAATAAACATGTGGTTAAGGTTAACAAACACTTGCTTAAAAAGGGGACATGTTGACTTTTTATTTTGAACCCTCCATCTGCCCCAACCTCCTCACTACTGTACATGGACTTTGTCGCTATATCGTCAACATCTCTAATTCTTTAACGCAAACATGTTTGAAATGACTGATGCTACCATTCTTTATGGAAAGACAGTTTCTAAATACAAGGTTACAGCCAACAATTGCTTAGCTTAGCTTAGCAGAAAGAGTGGAAATGAGGAGGCCGCTTGCCTAATTTCATGGTTTGCACCAGTTGCCAAGGAACAAACTGACACACCAAGAAAAACTCAAGCACATAAATCCAAGTACAATGTGGAAATTATCATTTTTAGAATTCAGTTTTGGTGTAGATTATTAAAAAAGTGGTTAATTAATTAGCTTAGGAGGTGCAGGAAGGCGGGTTTTGTAACCTTCAGACACAACCAGGTGAGTCATTTACCTCATAAGCAAAGCCCGTTTTCTTAGCAGGCAATACATGGTAACACATTAAATAATGGCAATCCCAATATCTTGATTTCCTTCTCATAGCCACAGTCAGATAAACACAGTGACAAACTGGTTGTGGTGGACGGATGAATGGATCATTGGACATTTCCTTTCAAACTGGCAGCTGACAACTACCTTAACAGCTTGTTTATCATTGAAACACTGACAACAAAGACGCTCTATTTTACCCCAAACACTGACCTTTCCATAAGCCAAGTTGTTTCTGTGCCTAAATTCAACCAAAGAGAGGCAAAAATAAAAAATAAAAACAACAAGTGAGATGGTCACAGATCTTTTAGTGGGAGGTATGTCGGGGAGAAAAAGTACTAAATGCTTTGTTTTTGTTGTTTGTTTTTTTCCCTTGTGTTTTTTTTTTTTACTAATACAAATTAGTAAAAAGGGAACAACAATTGGGTATTTAGAATTCTGGGGGGTTGTTTTGTCCTCTCTACATGTGTTCCCCATTTCAAAAATAAAAAAATGCTTCTACAATTTTCCTCTGCCACACGATGCTTTGTGGAACAACTGACATTTTTTTTGTTTTCCTGCCTACATGTTGCCGATTTTTCCAACAGTTTCAGCCTTTTCTTGCACTCCATTTTACTCACCGAGACCTACTTCTAGCAGTGTGGTGCTCCTGGACAAATGAGTGTATTGCGTGGCG